GTTTTGCACATCTCCCGAAGAGCGACCAACCCAGTTTTTAACTTGTCCTGAAATGTCTTGAGACTCCTCGGTAGAACTGTAAAGCCAACTGTTCTTATTTTTAAGACCACACGAGCATTCGGACTATTGAAGAATTGGCCGGGAAGCTAGAATTTGAAAACGAGTTGAACCATGTCTGTGGTCACTGCCAAGATTCACCCTTCAAGGAGGAAGCCTGGGCCCTGCTCGGGGACGAGAGCCCTCAGAAGGCCTCAGATGCCAACCCTGGTGGCCTCAAGCAGGCTTTCGACGAGCACAATATCATCGAGACTGTCCTGGACCTGGAAGAGGACTACAGTCTGATGACCTCTTTTAAATACCAAATTGAGTAAGGCCGGTCGTCTTAGCTTTGCATCTTCCTAGCAGGAGTTTGCCCTAAAGGATCCGGGCAGGCCCAGCTGCCAGTGTCCCTGAGGGTGACATTTCAAAGGGTAGGCCGAACCTGAATTACTACACCCTTTTTAACTTCCGCTTCTGTCCCTTTGTGAGCTGAGAGCCCAGGTTTTGTATTCTGTTGCTTCAAAATGTTTCTTACTGTTGACTTTTTTCTTTTTTGTAACTTTTCTTGATATCTTGAATGTGTTTTTGACATTGATATTCAGTACACTCAGCACCCAAAACGCAAAGTAGGTGTGGACTGTGGGCCTCTGGTGTGTCTCTTGGTGTTCTTTCCATGGCCCCTGAGAAAGCACAGGGGTCACAGCCAGGATTGGCTTTGTTTCCCCGCCCTCCCCCAGTCATAGCAGGCCACTCTGGGCCAGCTCAGCCTGCCCAGCAGAGCTAGCCCTGCGTCTGGGCCCTGCGTCCCCCTCGTACACTGTGCTCTGTGTCCTTCATGGGGTCATGTCCAGATCTGCCTCCCTTCTGTCCCCTTGTCCCCGCCCAGCTCAGAGGCCTCAAGATTGAATCAGAGGAGCTGGCAGGATCCCCACTGGCCCTTTCCTGACAGCACGTTCCCATGAGGCGTTCCTCCCATGCAACCAGCTGGGCCCTCAGCTGAGGGGGTGGAGAGGGAAAGTGGGCATGGGTCCTGCTCACCCACTTTCGCACCTGAGCCTCATCACACCACAGGCCTGGAGACCACAGGCAGTCCCTTTGTGGAGCACAACAGGCCAGCGGGTGAAGGAGAGGCCCAGCTGTCCTCCAGAGGTCAGCAGAGGCTTAGCACAGCCGCTCCAGCCCCACCCCTGGAAAGGAAGGACATCATCAGAAGTTATGTGGACAAAGATTCCAAACCATGATGTCCTCTCAGGAAACGTAACAAGGTGTTGGGCAGTTTGCTACCCCAGAAACTGAGTCTCAGGGACCTGCCCCCCCGCCTGGGCACGTAAGGAGGGAGGCTGGTACAGAGCTGCCTGTAGACCTGAAACTACAGCTAGGAAGGGCCCACGGCTCACTGCCCACGAGGCTGTCTTCTAGGCCAGTGACCTTGGCATAGGGCAGCTGCAGAGCCACCCTCAGCTCAGGTCCCCTGAGTCTGCTAGGCTCAGAGGCAGAGACTACCTGCCCTCTGCTTCACAGAGCCTGGTGCAGCACTTAGCGCCTCGAGAATGGTGGTGCCCTGGGCCCTGACCATGTCAATGGGTGGCCTCGCTGGTGGGCATGTCCTGGTTCCCGCCCAGGCATGGCCACTGCCACTGCCCTGTTTAGAGCAGGAGGCTCTTCCCAGGTCTCCTGCCACTCAGTCCCTGCAGGAGGTGGCACCCTCAATAAGCATTCAACAGCTGATGAAATTGGAGGCGAGCAGAACAGCAGCACGTGCGCACGCTCCGCTCACTGCATCCTCGGCCGCCTGCTTGCTGGGTCACCTGTGGATGTGGGCTCTCCTACAGAGGAGGTGGCACTTAATTCCTGTCCCTTCCCACTTTCCCACCACCACCCCACCCCCCATCCCATCACTGCCCCTTGAGGGTGAGCTAGACTTAGTGACTCTCTTCTAAAGACTGAAGGGTAGAAAGAGAAAGCTGTAACTTACAACGGCGAGACCCAGCAGACACCGCCTTAACCAAGTGCTGGCCATTACCATCAGCAGAGTCCTGCAGATGTCGTACACAGCCCGCCAGGATGGGGTGGGACGGATGCTTCACCTCAGAGGTGTTCTCAGGAATCCATGTGCGCAGCCTCTGTGCATCGCAGATGTCAGACAGACCTAGACTGGGAGGCATTCTCCAGGATACGTGGCCAGAACACAAGGCCTTCAGAGTCTAAGAACGAGGACTCAGAACCTGTCCCAGACCCATAGCGACTAAGGAGACACAATGTCTGAGCAATATGGAGTCTTGGGTTGCTTCCTGCAACAGAGAGGACATGATGGAAAATTGGTGCCCTCCAAGCCAAGGCTGCAGTGAATACTTTGATGTCAGCTCCTCAGTTTTGAACACTTCTGGAAGATGTTTACGCTGGGGAAATTGGGCGAGGGGTGTACATGGACTTAGGATCTTGGCAACTTTTCTCTAAATCGGAAGTTGTTCCAAAATGTTAAATGCATTCGATTCATAAAGTACATTTGATCCCAAATGAATGAAAGTACATACATGAGCACACAAAGGCAAAAACCGATTGGGGAGGATAAAAGGGGTTATAGGGTTTTTCCCTTCTATCTTCTAATTTGTCTGTCGTGCACATGTTATCACTTTTGCAAAAATAAAGTTTTTTTTAAAACCCTCATCAACTAGCCATGGGCCTCCCTTATCACGTATCTTTGCAAACTCAACCTTCACAATCTCCAGGAATTGGGTCAGTGTCCCGGGGCCACCCAAGAGGCTTGGCAGGACCCTGACAAAGAGGGCATCCTCCCTTGGGGGGCGCCGGTTTCTATGCCTTAGGCCTCACAGAGCTGTTTGTCAGGAGCTCAGTTCAATGGTCCCTCCCCAAGTGGGGGTTTGTTGTGAGCAGGGATCTAGTCTGAGAAGACTGAACAAAGGGATTTTTTTCTGATTGGGTTGGAGACTGTGGCCCTTGGAATGAGGGCCCGGCCCAAGATGGGGCACGGTAGCAGCAGGATTCAGGCTTTGCCTGACCAGAGAGACAGGTATGCGTCTGTTTGAGCAAAGCCTGTATGTGAAAACTCAGATTTGCCAGGTAGGTAGTTCAGCCCGGAATCCTTGACGGAGGAAGTCTCCCTCAGTGCAGAGACGCAGCTGTTTGATAAAGCAGGTGAGCCCTAGCCTCTGGCATGCCGGCCCCAGATGAGCAGGCAGCATTTCCTCTTATCTCTGCCTCCCTGGCTCCTGGAGGTGCCCCAAGAAGACCACCCTGCCATTGCCAGCGTCACACAGCAGTGGACAGATGTGTGCTCATGTGCTCAGAGCAGGGTTTGGGGAGTCATTCTCCACGGATTTAGCAAGGAAGAGATTAGGAGTCTCAAACACATATTTTAGTGAAACCCCTAGGCTTGCAGGGAGCGAGGACCAAAGCCTTCCTGGGAGACTTGCTGGTTGACCTTGGTCACGTCTGAGAAACTTCATAAATGCTTTACGTCACTCAGTTCTCTCCCCCGCAGTTCGTCTTGGCAAGCCAAACAATCCCTGGGCTGTTTCCGTGGAAACACGAACTGCAATTCAGATTACCAGAATCAAAATAGAAACAAGGCAGCCTCAAGAATAAATAGGAGCTTTGGAACCTGTAGCCGCAAACTGCAACTTGGAGCCACAGCACGAGGCATGTGAGACGCTGTGAGGACAGGTTTCTAGGTCCCATGGCCGCATCCCACCAGTGCACCCCCAAAAGCCACTAGGAATCAGCTTCGTAAGCACACTGGCAGACTTTGTGGTGATATTTAAGGCAGGAGCTGGCCTGTAGAAGCTTCTAGAAGGAACTAGAGGGCTGAAAGGGAAGGCCAAGCGGGAAAGGACAGGAACAAGGAGAGAGATGGGGGAACGGAAGGGTGAAGGTCCAGCAGGGATCAGGGAATGACAGCCAAGGCTCAGGAGCAGAGCAGCGGTTCTTTCAAAGGCACAACTGACAACATGCAGCTGTGGACTGGGAATGGCGACCCTGCCTTCAGCCTATCCAGAGTGCAGCCTGTCTAGCCACAGGGAGGTGGTTCTAGACCCGGAACCCTTGCCAGGTGCATTCTGGAGGCCTTCTGTTGGACACCTCTGCCTCTGAGGCACAAGCCAGGGCAGTCGGCCGCTGGGACCTACTGTCTCAACTCTGGACCTCAGGGTCCCCTCCCCACACCTCCTGCTCCCCTAACTCAGGGAACAGAGAGCCCTGGCTCCTTGGCATTGTCATGGACTCTCCACATCCAATCCTAGGGAGGACACCAAAGGGATCAGGCAACCAGGAGGAAGCAGCCAGCCAGCCTGGGGTCCTGTGTCCCTCCACTGGCACACAGGAATGGGCCAAGAGGGCAACACCATCATCCCGCCACTGTGTGCGAGTGTGAGTTGTTGACATTCGAATTCGCAGAAGGTAGGTGAGTGATGGATTTGGGAAAGGGGCCTACCTCAGGCCAACGCCCCTCCTAAATGGCCAGGTAGGGCCTCACCTGGTACCAGAGTGGTACCTCCCTGACTGAGCCACAGATGTGCAATATGGCCGCAGAGGCCATCGAAGGAGTGCATCTAAAGGGGAGGCCTCGGGAAGCCAGTGTGTTAAACTGTGACGGATGGTTCTAAAGGTGCTGTCATCCCAAGACAGTTTGAGGCCTGGCAATTAGCTTTCTCCTTAGAGTGTGTGGGAGAACATTAATATTTTAGGTTCCTGCTAAATATTTACAGAGGGAACATTTTACTCAGGAAATCTATTTGACAATGGATCCTAGCACTAGGTGGGAAGGACTCTCTGTCCTAGGCTGTCTGGAAAATGCCTGATTTGATAGAGTTTTGGCGGAAGGCCTGGTACATTTTTTTTCCAAACTATCCAGCCCTTGTAGGAAGTAACTTCCTTTCTGGAGGGCAGAGATGCTATTGTTTTCTGTGTACTTGGGGTGAGAAAGGTGATGCTGGGAACTGGCCTGGAAGAGAAGTGGGTATCTTGCAGGAGATCCATCATCAGGAGCCCTTTGGAGCTTCTGAGGCAAAACTCAAAAAAAGACAAGCTGCGAAGGGATGCCAGAAAGGTCCCCTCTCAGGACAAGGGTGCAGGAGCTGTGCGAGGGACAGGAATGCAATCCCTGCCCTCAACAAGTACTTATCAAGGATCTATTAGTGTCAGACACTCTCTTAGTGCTGGGGACACAGCCGAGACAGGGCAGAGGCTACTCTGGCTTCTGGAGCTTACAGCCCACTGGGAAGGCATACAAATGAATGCATAGTGGGGCCAGCAAGTGGCCAGGTGGTTAAGGTGCTAGACTCTCATACAATAGATCACCGTTTGAGTGCTGGACCCGGTGGCTTGAAAATAATGCTGGGCACATGTGCACGCATGCCCAAAATCCAAAGGAGAATGAAGAAGGGATTGTGGCATGGCCATCCCTCCTGAGGGATTCCTCACTTTCCCTCTCTATCTCTCTCTGGCCAGGGCACTCGTCCTATGACAAAAACCTAAACACACACACACACAAATGAATGTCATTTCAGACCAAGCAAGATAAGGAAATCAAAGCAGGTCAAGGGATTGGGGGATGAGTAGGGAAGTCTGCAAAGGCCTCTCTATAGGTGACATTTCCATTAATACTTGAATGTCACGATAATTAGGTGCTAATTGTCAGCCTAATTGTCAGCTTCATTTCCATCCCAGGCTATAGCTGAATTGTATCAGAAAGAGGAAGTCCCAGGACCAACAGGTGGCATAATGGTTATGTCACTGGACTCCCACATGATTGACTGCATTTCAAGTCCCAGACCTGGTGGCTTAAAACTCTTCCTGGGCACGTTTGCATGTGTACCCAAAATCCCAAGAGGCAAATGGAGGAGAAGGGATTATGACATGGCCATATACCCTGGGGGGGCGGGGTGATTTCTCACTATCTGTCTCTGTCTCTCTCTGTCTCTCTGGAGAGTGTATATGCTCTATACAAAAAAATTTCTCTTAAAAAAAAAAAAGTCCCTGGGTGGCTCCCTGGCTTCCCAGCCTGGGCCCCAGGCCCACAAACCTCCCACCACAGCCGCCTCTGTGTAGCCTCATGTGGCTCCAGGAGCTTCTGAAGAGCCAAAAACGTTGTATGCTCCAGACGTGCCTGGGCTGTGTCACGCTCACCAAACCTGGCAGGAACGCAGTAGTTTAAAAAAAAAAAGCTTCAGGAATAAAATAAGAAACAGAATATCCTTTCCTGATGATCACCAGAGACAGGCAGTATAATTTTAATTAACCAAACCTTGTTAGGAGACAGCTTACTGCTCATTCTACAAAAACGCCCAACTCCCGGAACACCAAGTCTGAACTCTGTCTCCATAACTCAAAGTGAAACATTCAAAGAAATACAGGGCCAGGGCAGAGCCCACATCTGAACTTCCTGGCTTCAGAGGGGGCTGCTGTGATTGCTCATGGCTCCCAGCTACAGGCCTCAGGAAGCCCTTGCTGTGGAGACGAGAGAAACCACAGCTTAGGCTGATGCCTGGCACTCCAGGCAGAGGTGTCTCAGGCCAGTTCAGCTCCTCCGGACTTTTATGGGATACACATCTATGGAAATAAAGAATGCAAAAAAATAAGAAGAAGTCATGAACCCCCGTTTTCTACAATGTCATTTACTATAGTGGAAATGAGCAAATGGGCTTGAAAATGGGAAAATTCTGGAGACTGCCTATGCCATGTAGATTTTCACTACATACAATACAGGAAATGAAAACAAAACAAAACAAAAAACCCAGAAGGGAGTGTTGTTTATTCAAAAGCATCTTGTGAGAGCCTTAGGAAATACATAGATGGTATGCATCTTATGTATTTGATTTCTTAAGTAAATATAAGGAATTGAACTAGGAGTTCAGTTCAATAAATGTAATGAAAGAGAAAAAAATATATGCTTTCAAAGGGTTTATCTTTATTTTTGAATTACTTATTGTTGATTACAAAAGAAATACACATGTTGCAAAACTTTGAAAACTTCAGCAAGATATAAATGGAAGTCCAATGTTTCATATAAGCCCAGGAATAATACAAGGCCTACAGACGCTATCATTAGCTTTAAAAGCGTGGTGGAAAAACAAAACAGGAGAAAAAACAGCCGGGAAGAAAAATGGACTCATGTCGAACAGTGCTGCTCTGGACGTTTGTTTGGTGCATGTCACCTCTCTTTCAGAGCTTCAGGAATAAAATAAGAAACAGAATATCCTTTCCTGATGATCACCAGAGACAGGCAGTATAATTTTAATTAACCAAACCTTGTTAGGAGACAGCTTACTGCTCATTCTACAAAAACGCCCAACTCCCGGAACACCAAGTCTGAACTCTGTCTCCATAACTCAAAGTGAAACATTCAAAGAAATACAGGGCCAGGGCAGAGCCCACATCTGAACTTCCTGGCTTCAGAGGGGGCTGCTGTGATTGCTCATGGCTCCCAGCTACAGGCCTCAGGAAGCCCTTGCTGTGGAGACGAGAGAAACCACAGCTTAGGCTGATGCCTGGCACTCCAGGCAGAGGTGTCTCAGGCCAGTTCAGCTCCTCCGGACTTTTATGGGATACACATCTATGGAAATAAAGAATGCAAAAAAATAAGAAGAAGTCATGAACCCCCGTTTTCTACAATGTCATTTACTATAGTGGAAATGAGCAAATGGGCTTGAAAATGGGAAAATTCTGGAGACTGCCTATGCCATGTAGATTTTCACTACATACAATACAGGAAATGAAAACAAAACAAAACAAAAAACCCAGAAGGGAGTGTTGTTTATTCAAAAGCATCTTGTGAGAGCCTTAGGAAATACATAGATGGTATGCATCTTATGTATTTGATTTCTTAAGTAAATATAAGGAATTGAACTAGGAGTTCAGTTCAATAAATGTAATGAAAGAGAAAAAAATATATGCTTTCAAAGGGTTTATCTTTATTTTTGAATTACTTATTGTTGATTACAAAAGAAATACACATGTTGCAAAACTTTGAAAACTTCAGCAAGATATAAATGGAAGTCCAATGTTTCATATAAGCCCAGGAATAATACAAGGCCTACAGACGCTATCATTAGCTTTAAAAGCGTGGTGGAAAAACAAAACAGGAGAAAAAACAGCCGGGAAGAAAAATGGACTCATGTCGAACAGTGCTGCTCTGGACGTTTGTTTGGTGCATGTCACCTCTCTTTCAGAAGCAGCTTTAACTTTTTCCTTTCTTTCTCTGTTCACGAGAACTACTATGTCCTGTAATATATCCACTGGTTGAAAAATGAAATGTTCTGGCCATATAACTGGGTAAAAATAAGAAAATATGCCAAGGCCCAGAGCGGTATTGTTCACACATAGAAATTGTTTTCATTACCGGAGGGCACATGTGCTTGCTAGAGAGAGAGAGAGAGAGAGGGAGAGAAAATGACCCTGATGGGGCATGCTTATGGTGTATGGCCACCCCCCAATACCTTCTCCATTTTTCCATCCTGTTGGGATTTTGGGTGCATGCACGTGCTGGTGTATTTTCCAAGTTGCTGGATTTGGGACTCAAAGCATTCAGTCAGTCATGTAGGATCTGGCTCACTTAACTACCAGGCTACAGAGCCAACCCTAGGAAATATTTTGAAGGCCAAAAATGTTGTATTTGGGGGGGGGGGCAGCAGGTGGTTGGCGGTTAAGATGCTAGATCTCATGTGACCAGCTTCATGGTTTAAGTCCCTAACCTGGCAGCTTGAGACTCATGTTGGGTGCATGTGCGTGTATGCCCAAAATCCAGAGAGGAGAGTGAAGAAGAGAGGATTACAGCATGGCCAGTACCCCTAGGGAGTGACTTTTCTTTCCCTCTCTCTTCGGTGAGTACACATGCACTATAACAAAAACTAAAGAAAAAAGAAAAAAGTTTGTATTTGGGAGTCATGCTGCCATGGTTTTATGAGATCCTGTCCTACTACACACTATATACAGGCCGGCTGTGTGGTCTGCTGGTTAAGGCAGCTGGATCACACATAGCCATCCGTGCAGTCCAAGTCCTGGACCCAGCAACCTGAAAAACACACTGTGTGCATGCGCATGTGTGCCCAAAATCCCAAAAGAAGGAAGACATGAAGAAAGGATCGTGGTGTGACCATTTCCCATGAGGAGTGCTTTCTCCTCTCCTTCTCTCCCTTTGTCTCTCTCTATCACATGCACCCTCTAGCACCAAAAAAAAAAAAAAAAAAAAAAAATCCAGCCCCCTTTCACCAAGTCCAGCCACCCTCCCAGTGTGCCAAACCGAGGCTGCTATCCAGCTCTCATCTCTGCCACCCTTACACGTTTCTTTCCAGTAAGGATGCACTTATTCCTTATGCCCTTGCCATGGGCAGCACCTGGTACCCAGAGCATCAGTCCCCACAGACCTAACTCCACCCAGCAGGACTCCTGACCCTAAGGGTCCCCAGCAGGCTTCAGGGACTTCCTGCTGTTGACCAGACAAGTGTGTGATTTGTCTTTCTTTTCTTTTTTTTTTTTTTTGGAGAGGTTTTTGCTATAGGGCACATGCACTCGCCAGACAGACAGAGAGAGACATAGAGACAGAAAGCAAGAAATCACCCCGCCCGACGTGAGTTTTAAGCCACCAGGTCCAGGACGCGAACCACGGTCAACTACGTGGGAGTCCAGTGACATAGCCATTACGCTAACTGCTGGTTCCCTGATTTGTCTTTCTGTGTGTTCTGACTTGCACTGTTAAGTGCAAACCATCAGCTAAAGTTGCTGTGGGCTAGTCAGAAGCCGTCATCACTGCTATCAAAACCCAGGTCATAAAGCATAGTCTTCCCTGGCTCCTTGCACAGAGGAGGCTCTGAACTGCCCAGGCTGGGGTCACTGAACCAGCTCATCTGGTGCTTCCCTCGGGAACTTCTAGAAAGCTGGCTGTTGTTTCCAGAAGAGGACCTGTTGAGCTGCAAGAGGCTTCTTTGGGAGGCACTTCCTGTCTTACTGGGTGTGACTCTTCCTCTCAGAGCAGAGCATGCTGGCCTTGAGGGGCTCCTGGGGTTCCGGAGATGTAGGAGCTGAGCAAGGGGTTCCTGCTGTCCCAGGGAGGACCTCTGTGGGCCAGAAGCTGGAGGCTGACAACTCTGATACTTAGAGTTGAAGGCACAGGTCTTGTTTGGGTTTTGTTCTTGCTTCCTGGCTCGGAGGCTGCCCCTTTTGACTTTCTTGGGCTGCTCCTTCCTGCCTTTCCCACGTCTTCCAACAGTCCTGACTTTCTGCTCAGTGACCTGGTGCTCACACGGGTCACACAAGAACATGGTTGTGGCTTGATATTTGGGGCAGGAATTCTTAATGTTGGCTTCAAGGTTATCCAAATCCAGGGATATTTGCTGTGAAGTTCCTTGGGAAACCAGTTCCCTGTCATTGTGAACTCTGTGGCCCGAGAGGCTGGAGACATGGTTCTTTAAACCTGCATTAGTGGTGATGGGATCCTGGCAGTCGGTCTGCACTGCCTTGTCCCTTACGCACCCATGTCCTTCACAGAGCCCAACTGCTGACAGTGTGGCCTCTTCTCGGAGAGCATTGCTCTTTGCTTCCTTACCCTGGGCACATAAGTCTCCAGGCCCTGGGGAGCCCACACTGGGATTCCACGCAGCAGGGGGGACCTGAACTGGCTGTGTGACAGCATCCCCAGAGGTGTAATTTTCCTGCCTGGTGAAGTAGAGGCTGTGGGCTAGATGTGGTGAGGTCTGAGAGGTGCTGTCTTTCACATTCCCTGGTGCCAGAAGCACTGACATCGATTGCTTCAGCTCTGCTAGGACACTGGGCACATTCAGCTGGCCTACCTGCTCACACAGCTGCTGGAAGTCCTGACTCTGCTGGGTAACTAAACCTTCTAGGTGCTTTAGGTTGGACTTCATGTCTATGAACTCTGCTTGTTTCTGGGGAGAAGCAGTGAGAAAGAGGAGGGTGATGAGCAGTATGGTTGAGAATGTGAACAAACTGATGGTTATGCCAGCAGAACCAAGGGGGCCTCATTGGGCAAGTACAGCTACACTCTGGAGCGGAGCCCTGGGGCCCACATTATGCCAGGGATCTTGGCGAAGGAAGCCAGCCTACACCCTGGGCTATTACCAAGGGGCCTGTGCTACCTCTGGTCTTGGATAAAATTTTTCAACTTGAGGAGTCTCTCTGGATCTTAGAGACGAAGCCAAAAACACATTTGAAAAAAAAAGGTCAGGGGTCTGGGTCTACACTTACAGCTTCGAACATCTTCCGTATTTCGAGGATGGCCTGTTCCATGTTGCCTTTGTCTTGTACCGCCCTGAACGCCAGGTCATTCTGGGCCCGCACGATCTCTTGCACTAAATACAAAATAGTGATGATTCACCTCCTGGAAACTGGCATGCCCCACCTGCCCAGACCACAGCCAGGTGCCCACGCAGACCACCTGAGACTTTTCCGCTAGTGCCAGGACTCTGTCCTCCCAGACCAGAGTGGTTCTTCCCTCATCTCTTCCTCTCTCCCACCACAAGATGATCTTGGCCAGAGCAGACTCAGCCTTAGCACCTGCAGGGACCCTGAGAAGCAGTGCCCAGATGCCAACACCAACCCAGTTCCTCTTTGGCCTTGCCTCTTAGCCCTGTTATCAGAGTGACCTTTATAGAATGAAGGTGTCATCATGGCCCCCCGCCCCGAAACCTACACTGAGACTTTCAGGGGCACTCTTGACTAAGTTTGAACTTTTAAATTGGCAAGCCAGACTCACAGGATCTTGATGTTGTAATATATCCACAAGCTTCAGGCAGACCCATATTAAGGGTAAGAGCATGCCCATTGCACTCAGGGAGGTCTCCAGATGCAAACCTGGAACCCTCCCAAATGGGTCAATCTCATAAAGTATATTTTAGCACTGTGCCACTCTCTGGCCCTTTGTCAACAAATATTTAATGAGCATCAACTATGTGACAGGCATTATGGATATAATAGTAATAAGGAGAGATAAAGCCATATTGCAATACAATATTAATTTTTAAAAAAGAAATATTTTATTTAACATTTATTTATTTATTTTAATTTGACCAGAGAGGGACAAAGTGAGAGAGAGAGAGAAAGTGAGAAAGCAAGTTGCCAGGTCCAGGATTCAAACCGCAGTTGGCCATGTGGGAGTCCAGTGCCCTTAACCACCATATCACCTGGTGGCCCCACAATATTAATTATTTTTGAGAGGTTTTTGCTATAGGGCACGTGCACTCGCCAGACAGACAGAGAGAGACAGAGAGACAGAAAGTGAAAAATCACCCCCCAGGGAGGATGGTCATGCTGCAATCCCTTCTCCTCCATTCTCCTCTCGGGATCTTGGGCACGCACGCACACGCGCCCAACGTGAGTTTTAAGCCACCGGGTCTGGGACACCAACCACGGTCAACTACGTGGGAGTCCAGCGACATAGCCATTACACTAACTGCTGGTCCGTACGATACTAATTTTTTTAACTGCCTGAGGGTAGATGTGTTTGCCAGGGAGAGACAGAGAGAGAGAAATTACCCCCCAATGGGGCATTGTCATGCTATAATCCTTTTTCCTCCATTTCTCTGTCCCATCAGGATTTGGGGCATGCATGCACATGTACTTGGCTGGGGCCAGGTCAGGTTCGAAGCGTGTGATCAGTCATGTGGGATCTGGCTTCCCCATCACCAGACCATAGGGCTGAACCTATTTATTTTTCTGTGTTCACACATACATATGAGAGTGAGAAAGTGAACACCTTCCACAGATTCTGATCATGCTGTAGTTCCCTTTCCTTCAGTCCTCTAGGCTGACGAATCTTGGGCACTTGCAGGCTTCAAGCTGACCAGACTGGGATTTGAGCCGCGGTCTCCCTGTAGGATCCAGCCTCTCTTGAGCAGTGTATTACTGCTGTGGAGCGGCCCATGATTTCTCTAAAAAAGGAGCACTTCTGCAATTTGAATGATAAACTAGGATGAAGAAGCCAAACACAGATCAGAAATAACCCAAAAAGGGCTGGCCCCATAATCTACTGATTAAGGGGGCCTGATCTCACATGGTTGACTGTAGTTTGAGTACTGGACTCGGCAGCTTGAAAAACATGCTAGAAGTGTGTATGTGTTTGGTTTAGGAACAATCAAAAGTTGCTTTATTTCTTCTTCAAACTTATTTCAACTTTTGCAGAAGACAAACAATTATAATGGCTATTTCAGAACTCTTTTTCTGGCTTTTTCTACTTTGGGGAAGAGTTCCTTTTTTAAAATTATTTTATTTAACTTTATTTATACATTTATTTATTTTAATTTGGCCATTGAGGTACAGAGTGTGTGTGAGAGAGAGAAACTGAGAAAGCAAGCCACTAGGTCCAGGACTCGAATCGCGGTCGACCATTTGGGGAGTCCAGTGCCTTCAACCACCATTCCACCTGCCGGCCCCACTGAGAAGAGTTCCAAGGGAAAACGGAGTGAACCTATTGTACTTTCACATACTTTTTTTTTTTTTTTTTAGATTTTTGTCATATGGTGCATGTGCACACCAGAAAGAGAGAGAGAGAAAGAGAAAGAGAGAGAGAGAAAGTGAAAAATCACCCCCTGGGGGGATGGCCATGCCACAGTCCCTTCTCCTCCATTCTCCTCTCAGGATTTGGGCATGCACAGAAGTACCCAGTGCAATTTTCAAGCTGCCAGGTCTGGGACTCAAACCATGTAGGCCATGTGGGATTCAGCTAGCTGCCCTAACCACCACACTACCAGCTGGACCATGGCACATATTTTAGATAAGGTTGTCAGAGATGGGTATATTTAAAGTGAAACCAGGATAAAGAGGAGTCAGCTCTACAGAAGATAAGCAAATGGCAGGTGTAAAAGTTCTGAAGCAATAAGTGTCTGTGTGACTATGAATAGACAAACCAATGTGGTCTTGCAGAAAGCAGTAAGCAATGGTAATCTTTTTTTTTTTTTTTTGAGAGAGGGGTTTTGCTATAGGGCACATGTGCTTGCCAGAGAGACAGACAGAAAGCGAGAAATCACCCTCCTGGGGAGAATGGCCACACCACAATTCCTTCTCTTCTATTCTCCCCTCAGGACCTTGGGCACATACACACACGTGCCTGGCATGAGTTTAAGCCATTGGGTCGGGGAACTCGAATCATAGTTGGCTATGTGGGAGTCCAGTGATGTAACCATTACACCATCTGCTGGCCCCAAGAAATAGTAAATTTTATATTATATGTACTTATCCACAGGTTTGTTTTTTTTTAAGAGAGATTTTTGCTGTAGGGTGTGTGTGCTCACCAGACAGAGAAAGACCGAGAGACAGAAAGTGATAAATCACCCCTCAGGGAGGTAGCCACACCACAGTCCCTTCTCCTCCATTCTCCTCTCAGGATCTTGGACACGCACACACACATGTCCAGGTAAGATGTAAGCCCCTGGGTCAGGGACTCAAACTGCAGTCAACTACACAGGAGTCCAGCAATGTAACCACTATGCCATCTGCTGGTCTCTATTCACAGTTTTGTGTGTGTGTGTGTGTGTGTGTGTGTGTTTATTATGATTATTTTAAACATTTGATCGCTATACATCATTTGGCTTGTAAAGAGAATTTACCCAACATAAAATACACTTCAGACAAGTCCAGTTGAGAATACTATACACGTTATCATCAATATGTAATAAACTACTTCTCCACAGTTTTTTTTTTTTTAAATGGGCTCAGGGCCACCTTGTCCTGGCTGACTGGGGTGGCAGAGGTGCTGCACAGTCAACCACAGATCGTGTCCCGGACCCTGTGGCTTAAAACTCACACCTGGCACGTGTGCATGCGTGCCCAAGATCCCGAGAGGAGAATGGAGGAGAAGGGATTGCAGCATGACCATTCCCCCGGGGGGTGATTTCTCACTTTCTGTCTCTATGTCTCTCTCTGTCTGTCTGGCGAGCGTACGTGCCCTACAGCGAAAATCTCTCCAAAAAAACGTTTTTTTTTTTCTCTTACTTTTCAACACAAACACAAGTCAGATTCCTTGTGCCAACCAATTAGAAAAAGGTTGCTTATTGGGACCAGCAGATGGCATAAAGCTTACGTCACTGGACTCCCATATAGCTGACCATGGTTTGAGTTCTGGATCCAGCACCTTAAAATTCATGCTGCTTGCATGCGTGTACATGTCCAAAATCTAGAGAGGAGACTGGAGAAGAAGGGATTGCGGTGTGGCCATCTAGCCTGGGAATGATTTCTTGCTTTCTGTTTCTCTTACCTCTCTGGCCGAGTACATGCACTCTACAGTAAAAATCTCTCTCTTAAAAAAAAAGAGAGAAAGGGACCAGCAGTTAGTGTAATGGCTATGTCGCTGAACTCCCATGTAGTCAACCGTGGTTCGAGTCCCGGATCCAGTGGCTTAAACTCACACCGGGCGCATGTGTGTACATGCCCAAGATCCCAAGGAGAATGAAGGAGAAGGGACTGTGTGGCCATCCCCCCTTGGGGGTGATTTCTTGCTTTCTGTCTCTCTGTCTCTGTCTTTCTGGCAAGCGCACGTGTCCTGTAGCAAAAACCTCTCCAAAAAAAAGGAGAGAGAGGAGAAAGAGAGAGAGAGAGGACGTTTACTAATGGATTCGTGCTGCTCCTAAACTCTATTAGTCAAATATTTTTCAACATCCATGTAGATATTTATAGTGGAGAGCAAATGTAATTATCCCTCTCTAGAGTTCTAAATAGAAATGTTTCTTAGCAACAGTGGCCGTTACTGACCCTTACAAAAGCAGAGGATGAGAAAGACAAGCAGAGTGTTGGATTCTGGATTTAGTGCCCAGAAGCACCCACTGTGGTCCATACGTTCTGTCCTTGTTCCCAGGGAAACAGATGTACAATGAAAAATTATTAAATGTCTCCATGCAGACCTTGATCCCACTCTCTGAATTTAACAATTCCAGCAGTTTCCAGAAGTTTACATTAAATAAACATACATTTCTGTGTATAGATTGCAGATTCTGTGTGTGGGTCTGTTTTGAACATATCTATAAACATTAGTTATTTTTAGCTTCTGTGTAAAAATGACATTTGAAATCCATTTTCATATTCTGAACAATATATTTGTTTTCCTGTAAAAACAATTTTTAAAAGTTAATTTCTATTTTAGCAATTTGACAAGGGCTCAATTGAGATAAGATCAGATTCTAATGTGACTCAGAATGGAATGCTTTTCCACTGAAGGCCAGTGAGTTTCCTTTTACTCTGTAGTTTTTTCTCCCTGCTGTGCTAATGGAGAGCCTGAGGAAAGATCTGGAAGCCTCTCAATATAAAAGGACATTCAGGGGGTGGCAAGTGGTGTGATGGTTAAGGATACTGGACTCCCACATGGTCAACCATGGTTCAAGTCCCAGACATGCTTGCTTTCTCTCTCTCTCTTTCACTCTGTCACTCTCTGGTCAACTTAAAATAAGTAAATAAAATAAAATTCAATAAAATAATTCTTTTGAAAAAATAATAAATAAATAAATAGACATTCATCTTGGCAACCTCCTCCAATTCTTTTTTCTAGAATTATTTTTGGGCCAGCAAGTGGCATGGTGGTTAAGGTGCTGGACTCCTACATAGCCAAACATGGTTCAAGTACTGGACCTGGTGGCTTGCTTTCTCTCTCTCTCTGGTCAAATTGAGTAACAATTATTATTAATAAATAAAATCAAACAAATAATTTTAAAATGAATTATCATATTTCATTTTATTTATTCATTTATTTTAATTTGGTCAGAGACACACAGAGAGAGAAAGGGAAAATGAGAAAGCAAGCCACCAGGTCCAGAATTTGAACCATAGTCAGATATGTGGGGGTGTCCAGCGCCTTAACCAGCACACCACTTGCTGGCCCCCTCCAATTTTTTTAAAGAATTATTTTATGTATTTAAATTCGACCTATGAGGGACAGAGTGACAGAGAGAGAGAGCAGCAAAGTGAGAAAGCAAGCCACCAGATCCAGGACTCAAACTGCAACTGGTCAGCCATGTGGGAGTCCAGTGCCCTTAACCACCACACCACCTGCCAGCATCCCTCCTTCAATTTTTAAAACATTTTTGGGGGAACCAGCAGTTAGCGTAATGGCTATGTCGCTGGACTCCCACGTAGTCGACCACAGTTCGCATCCCGAATCCAGTGGCTTAAAACTCATGCCAGGCGCGTGTGTGTGCGTGCGTGCTCAAGATCCTGAGAGGAGAATGGAGGAGAAGGGATTGCGGCGTGACCATTCCCCCTGGGGGGTGATTTCTCGCTTTCTGTCTCTATGTCTCTCTCTGTTTGTCTGGCGAGCGCACGCGCCCTATAGCGAAAACCTCTCAAAAAAAAAATTTTTTTTTCCATAGGGCACATACACTTGCCAGAGAGAGACCAAGAGAAGGAAAATGAGAAATCACCTTCAGGGAATATGACCACAGTGTAATCCCTTCCCTTTCTCCTCTTGGGATTTTAGGCACACACACACACACACACACACACACCATGGTCAGTTATGTTGGAATCCAGCACCTTAACCACCATGCCACCTGCTGGCCAACTCTCCCTCATTTTTAAGGGCTACCCCTCCAATGTTCACTAGCTGGTCCCACACCCCAATAAGATGAGTCCTGGAGCAAATGTTGTGCATGTAAACAGCACCTTGCTCTTTTAACAGTGAACAGATACTTCCATTCCAACATGTTCATATAGATGGATCTCATTCTTCATAATAATCGTATGTGTTTTGCTTAGAAAATTTTTCCTAATCTGAAATTATAAAAATATTGCCCATGACTCATCAGGTGGCATGGTAGTTAACGCACCAGATCCCACATGACCTATTTAGTGGTTCAAGTCCCAGATCTGTTGGCTTGAAAATAATGCCAGGCATGTGTGCATCAGTGCCCAAAATCATGAGAGAAGAATGGAGGAGAAGAAATTGCAGTGTGGCCATCTCCCACACCCCAGGGGTGATTTCTCACTTTCTCTCTCCCCTCTCCTCTGGTGAGCACACATGCCTGATAGCAAAAACAAACAAACAAAAAATACTAAAAAAAAAAAAAAAAAAAGGTGCTTATATTTGCCACTAATTCTTTGATTTAATCACAACATTTGATATATTGATATATGGACTTTATTTATACGGACTTTATTTTGATGTATAGAGCAAGCCATTTTCCAAAAGACACGTTTTCTGATTTTAATGTCGTTACTGTTTTTCTTTTTTTCTCCCAATGAGTGTATTTTTCAAGAGAACAAACACCTGTCAGATGAAAATACCACTCTCTACTTATGTGCCCCACCTACACCCAGTACCTTTTCTTACTCTGGTCCTTGGTGCCCTCAGCTGAAGAGCAGAAGGAGTTAGCTTAGATGACTACAGTGACCCTTCTGGTTGGGCAGGCAGACTCTCCTGCGCAGAAACCCAGTAAGTCAGAGCACAGAGCAACACTCCCCATGGTGTCTTCATTTCCCCTTTCCTGATGGCAACAGTGAATGCAAATTGAAAGCGGGCAGAATGCACTGAGTAGAGTTCAGTGTTCTGGGCTAGCGGGAGAATTTATCTCGTTCCTCTCTCAATGACCAATTTAATTTTCTGCTCCTGATCATTACCTACCAAGAAAGAAAATGATTCTACACAAGTTGGCTAGAATGATTCTACACAAGTGTCCATTTTTAGGAATGACCTAGCCTTGGGCCAGCCAGGTGGTGTGGTAGTTGAGGCAGCTGGATCCCACATGGCTAACAATACAGTTTGATTTCTGTACTTGAGGGCTTGAAAAACACACGGGGATCAGCAGGTGGCGTGGTGGTTAAGGCGCTGGCCACTCCCACATGGCTGACCAGGGTTCAACTCCTGAATCTGGTGGCTTTCTTTCTCACTTCCTCTCTCTTTGACTCTCACCCTCTGTCTCTTTCTGGTCACATTAAAAAAAAACAAAAAACAACCACCAGGCAAGCATTTATGTGCATGCCCAAAATCCTGAGAGGAGAATGGCAGAGAGGGGACTGTGGTAAGGCTATACCCACTGGGGAGTGCTTTCTTACCTCCTCGCCATCTCTCCTGCTAGGGATCAAGGTCCCTGTGTCTACTACTCATCACATTCAATTATTCTTTTTAAGAATCATTTAATTTTATTTATTATCATTATTACTATTATAATTTAATTTGTGATAGGGCATGTGTGCTCACCAGAGAGAGACAGGATGAGAGAGGAAAGCTGAGAAAGCAAGCTGCCAGGTCTGGGACTTGAACCATCGTCTGCCATGCGGGAGTCCAGTTCTTTAACCATCATGCTACTGCTGCTGTCCCCCCCAATTCAGTTCTAATCCTGTCTCTGCAATGGTCTTGTGTAAGGGTCTTAGGCACTTCCTTTACCTTTTCTGGGAATTAAATGCCACACGTCGGTTGCAATCCTCCTTTCAATACTTCCCATGGTTTAACATGTAGGGGTATCCCCCGGTGTAAAAATGGAGGGAAAAAAAAAAAAAAAAAAAAAAAAACCCACCAGTACTTTCCTTGGGTACGTATAAATGAGTTGGTTATCCTATCAGGTTATACAAAGGAGGCATCTCTGATTTGCTTCTTTTTGCCTTGCTACTTCTTATAGGGGATAACAGTCTTAGGCTTCCAGAACTTGTGACCAAACAGATGCCCAATTGCCCTGTGTGTGGGATACCAAGTTTGGGAGCTAGCCGACAGAACAGTGCTTCTTTGCAGACAGATGGGGATTCACTTCTAAGCTGCATGACAGCATTGATTTTTGTAAATCATGAGCAAACCATCCCATGGCATCTGAATGGGTTCAACTTGTTTAAAATTTTAAAAAATAAATAAACACACAGACAAATGCAAACAAAAGCGGATGCCCAGTTCTCAGCCTGCTGTTTTGCTGAGAAACTGGTGGTTCTAGAGAGGTACTCACCTAAGGAGAACTGTGTCCTGGCTCTCTCCATTTTTTTTTTCAAAATTACTTTATTTATTAGTATTATTATTGTTTCAGTTTGACCAGAGAAAGACACAGAGAGAGACAGAGAGAGAGGAAGTGAGAAAGCAAGCCACCAAGTCTGAGACTGGAACCGTGGTCAGCCATGTGGGAGTCCAGCATCCCCAACCACCACACCACCTGCCGGCCCCACTCTCTTCTGTTTATAAAGGGCAGGGTCATGTTTTCATCTAAATATACATCACTAATTGGCAGTGCAGAGGATTTTACAAACCACAGACTGTGACTGAAATTGTGAATGATCTTGTGATTCACTACAAATAGCTCTCACTGAAACCAAGTCAGCAAGAACAGTAGGTGACTGGGGTATTTCTAACCCAAGTGGGCAGTATCTCTGTAGACCACATAGCCAGCAATTCGTTTGGGACTCAGGGATCCTACTGATTCTCTTCCAGTAGTGAGATGAGAAACCTTGCAAAGCTGCCTGACTTGAGACAGCAGGGTTACCAGGTAGAGGACTCACAAAAGTCATCGTGGAGCCAGAGTGTTGTCACATGGAGGTGAATCCCACTACCCACATCAGCACACTCCATGTGTCTTCAGGGCTAACCTTATGTAAACACCCTCTCATCTGAAATGCTGTGTAGAATCTCTCCACTGCAAACCTAGCTAAGATCTGAAAGTTCGAGGTCACCACTCACCAGTGCCCTCTGCTGATAATGTCAAATATGGGGCACTCACATGTCTTGGTCACAGTCTCCAAAGAATCCAAAATAGATTGGCTTCTTGAACTGAGATGTTCCTCTGATTTTTCCACAGTTGTCTGCAGCTACAAAAAAAAAAAAAAAAAAAAAAAAAATATTAAGAAAGAATTCACAGGGTCAGTAGATGGCATGGTGGTTAAGGCACTGAACTTCCACATGGCCAATCACGGTTCAAGTTCCAGACCTAGAGGCTTGCTTTCTCACTTTCTCTCTCTCTCTTGTGAGTGCACATGCCCTATTAGCAAATTTTAGAAATAATAAAAATAGGACCAGCAGTTAGTATAATGGCTATGTCGCTGAACTCCCATGTAGTCGACTGTGGTTTGTGTCCTGGACCCAGTGGCTTAAACTCACTCTGGACGTGTCTGCATGTATGCCCAAGATCCTAAGAGGAGAATGGAGGAGAAGGGATTATGGCGTGGCCCTCTCCCCTGGAGGGTGATTTCTCGCTTTCTATCTTTCTATCTCTCTCTGTCTTTCTGGTGAGCACATGCACCCTATAGCAAAAACCTCTCAATAATAATAATAATAATAATAATAATAATAATAAAGAAATCACCCCCCAGGTAGGATGGACACGCCACAATCCCTTCTCCTCCATTTTCCTCTCCGGATCTTGGGCACGCACGCACATGTGCCCTGTGTGAGTTTAAGCCACCAGGACCAGGACTTTAACTGTAGTCGACTACATGGGAGTCCAGTGACAAAGCCATTACGCCAACTGTTGGTCCCTAAATAAATAATTTAAAAAAAAAAAAGAAAGAAACAATGCACAGAGGCCAGCAGGTGGCATAGTGGGTAAGGCACTGTACTCCCACATGGCTGATGGTGGTTCGAGTCCCAGACCTGGAGGCTTGAAAATCATGCCAGGCACATGTGCGTGTGTACCCAAAATCTTAGGAGGAAAAGGGATTGAAGCATTGCCATCCCACCTGAGAGGTGACTTTTCACTTTACTTCTCCCTGTCTCTGTCTCTCCCCAGCAAACTCATGATCTCTATGGCAAATACCTTAAAAAAAAAAAAAAAAAAAACAGGGACAAGTGAGTGGCATAGTGGTTAAGGCACTGGACACTCCCACATGGCCAAACACAGTTCAAGTCCTGGATCTGGTGGTTTATTTTCTCACTTTGCCTCTCTTACTATCTCTGTGTCTCTCTCTGGTCAAAATAAAAGTAAATAAATGAATAAATAAAATTAAATAAAAATAATTCTTAAAATGAAAAAAAGAATGCACAGACTGTTGCCTAATTTTACTAACATAATAACTATCATTTAATGATTAAAAAGGGGTAGTTAAAATATTGTTATTCTAGGACCAGCAGGTAGAGTGGCGGTTAAGGCACTGGACACTCCCACATGGCCTACCCGACCACAGTTCAAGTTCTGAACTTGGTGGCTTGCTTTCTCACTTTCTCTCTCTCTCTCTCTCTCACTCTCTCTGGTCAAGTTAAAATAAATGAATAAATAAATAAAGCCAAATAAATAATTCTTTAAACCCCAAAATCTTGCAGTTTAGACCTTTGAAAAAAAATGCCAGACACATGTGTATGTGTGCCCAGAAACCCTAGAGGAGAATGGAGGAAAAGGGACTATGGCAGGTCATCCCCTGTAGGGGGTTGGTCTCTCACTTTCCCTCTCATTGTCTCTGTCTCTCTCCAGCAAGCACACAAGCCCTATAGCAAAAATCTAAAAAAAAAAAAGAAAAATTGCTGTTCTACATGAACTAAAGCAAATGCAATATAATTATAAAACTACTTAAATGTGAAATGTCCTAACTCCTTGAAATGTGGCTATACTTACCCTGTGAATGCTTTCTCTGACATAGGAGACAAAGTTGTGTAGATTCTCACTAGAATAGGAAAGAAAAACAAGAGACAAATCTTTGTGAAATATTGAAACAACATGTAACAGAACTGATCCCATGAATGTGGCAGACATGTCTAGCATGGCATCAAAATATTGCTTGATCAGAGTTGGAGACCTGAGCCTGAGAAACCATAGTGCCCAGTCAGAAAAAAGAGCACACCAGCTGCTGATAACCATTTCCAAGACAAACCACTTTGTTCTTTTTAAAATCTACTCTTTATGTACCTTTTTTTTTTTTGCTATAGGGTACATGTGCTCACCAGAGAGACACAGAGACAGAAAGTGAGAAATCACCCCCCAGGGGGGATGGCCATGCCGCAATCCCTTCTCCTCTCAGGATCTTGGGCATGCATGCACACGTGCCCAGTGTGAGTTTAAGCCACCAGGTCTAGGAGTCAAACCACAGTCAGCTACATGAAAGTCCAATAACATAGCCATTATGCCATCTGCTGGTCCCCCTTTATATGTATCTTAAATGAAGTTAATAAGTTTTAGCAACTCAAGAGGTTATCACAGTAGAAGACCAGTTTTCATTCTGATAGCAACCTTGGCTTTAGGAGGCAACAGCTTCTTTCTGGTAGTCCAAAAGTCCTGGACATATCTGGTATTACCATTATTTTGATTGTAAAACTGTGGTTAGAGTACAGGACCAGCAGATGGTATAATGGCTACGTCGCTGGACTCCCATGTAGTTGACTGAGGTTCGAGTCCCAAACCTGGTGGCTTAAATTCATGCACGTATGCATGCATGCCCAAGATCCTGAGAAGAGAATGGAGGAAAAGGGATTGCAGCGTGGCCATCCTCTGTGTGAGGGGGTGATTTGTCTCTTTCTGTTTCTCTGTCTCTCTCTGTCTTTCTGGCAAGCCCACACGCCCTATAGCAAAAACCTCTCCAAAGGGAAAAAAAAAAAAAAACACCTTGACTAATAGATGCTATTATGCTGAAACTGAATGATGTGATGTGATCATTGACTCCATTTAATGCTTCCCATCCACTTGAAAGGTTTGCATACCTGTCACACTTGTCTTTTGCCTTTTTTTTTTTCTCCTCAAATTGTTCGAAGAGGCCTTTTGATTTTCCAATTGACAAAGGAAGAGGAAATAAGCCTCCATCCTTTGTATCTCCTCCAAATAGCTGGGGTTTTGCCTGGTACTTCGTAAAAATACTAGGTTCACTCTGCTAAGTAAAAGAGAAAAATCAATATAACATTTCACACATAAAAATATTTATAACATTCACTATTTTCTGTACAACTCAGTCACATTTAAGTGCAAAGCATATTGCTAAAAACACAGCATAGCATGTAGTACTTCTTTTTTATTTTTGTATACACCAGAAATTTATATTTAACATAAAGCAACTCCTTTTATTAATATAGCTCTTGCCTTACCAGCCGAGAGATATTTAAAATGTCACTAAAATGGCTGAAAGTCAATTGCATAAATTTAAAGGCAGCAACGGAGAATTATATATTCTGTCACTGAGATTATATATTCAATTTTCATATTAACAAGTTTAACTCAAATTGCTCAGCTACTGGTGAACTAAAGATATGTTGATGAATTTGATAAGAACCAGAAAGTGGATATGCAGGCACAAGATAAGTCATTTCTTGCATTCTTAAGCAAAACTCTGAAACATTCAGAGAGTGCATGTATTCTTTCATAACACTAGATATAATTTTTGTACTAAAATACTTATCTGAGAACATACTCTACTAACTTGAAGCACTGACCTAGTCTTATTCATTCCCTATTTGGTACAGGTAAGCCCATATATAAAATTAATCTAGTTCTATACCAAATAAATAAAAATACTTCTGATTCATAAGAGGAGACCATCTCAAAAATGTCAAGGACTCAAGAGACTCTATACCTCATTCTGGGCCTGATTCATTAATTTGTACCTCAAAATTCTTGTCTCTTTTCATGAAGATAATGTAGTATCATTAACTAAAATCTGCAAAGTATGTAAAGTTTCTTAGGAAAAAATGTCTACCAGGCTAGCTCCATGGCCTAGAGATTAAGGCAGCTGGATCCTACCTGGCCAACTCTGTGGTTTGAATTCTGGACCCAGTGGCTTGAGAGCATGTATGCTGAACATGTATGTGCACATGCTCAAATTTTCAAAAGGAGGACTAAATGAAGGAGAAGAGATAGTAGTGTGATCGTTCTCCATGGTGGGTGCTTTCTCCACTCCCTATCTCTCTCTCTCCCTCTCTTTTCCTTTCTCTTTCTGTCTGTCTGTCTCTGGCAAGTGCATGACCCCTCTAGCAAATATTTTTCTTAAATTTTCAAAAATGGAGCCAGCAAGTGGTATGGTGGTTAAGGGCACTGGACTCCCATATGGCTGACCATGGTTTGAGTTCTAGACTTGGCGGTTTGCTTTCTCACTTTCTCTCTCTCTCTCTCTGTCCTTCCCTGGTCAAATTAAAATAAATAAATACATGAAGTTAAATAAAATAATTCTTTTTAAAAAAAATCTGCAAAAATGTCTGTCTGGGACCAGTGGATGGCATAATGGTTATATCACTGGACTCCTACCTAGTCGACTGCAGTTGGAGTCCTGGACCCAGCAACTTAAAACTCACGCCAGGCGCATGTGTGTGTGTGTACCCAAAATCCTGAGAGGACAATGGAGAAGGGATTGCAGCAAGGCCATCCCCCCAGTGGGTGATTTCTTGCTTTCTGTCTCTCTGTCTCTCCGATAAGCGCACATACTCTATAGCAAAAATCATTTAAAACACACACACACACACACAAAAACTGCCTAAAATAAAGTTCATGTTACTTTATTCTTATTTTATGGAAGTTTTGTTTTTCCTTACGAAATGTTCACCACCAATTTTATGACTAGTCTTAGGAAATGTCATGTGATATATGCCTGTCTGTAGAATTGTCAAGGAACTGACACTGACACAAGTTTTCTATGTTGCTTTGGTAATACAAGAAACTGCAAATATAATTATTTTTCCCATTTCAAACTACCTATTCATGTAAGTCACCAACTAAGCACAAATCCATTTAGGAGAGTAATCCCTGGAAGTATACAAAAAAAATTTATTTTTGGAGAGGTTTTTGCTATAGGGCGCATGCGCTCACCAGAAAGACAGAGAGAGACAGAGACAGAAAGCGAGAAATCACCCTCCAGGGGGGATGGCCACCGCGATCCCTTCTCCTCCATTCTCCTCTCAGGATCTTGGGCATGCATGCACACATGCCCTGTGTGAGTTTAAGCCACCAGGACCGGGACTTTAACTGTAGTCGACTACATGGGAGTCCAGCAATGTAACCATTATGCCATCTGCTGGTCCCAAATTCTTTTTCTTTTTTTTTAGAGATATTTTTGCTATAGGGCACGTGTGCTCTCCAGAGAGAGAGAGAGATAGAAAGTAAGAAATCACCCCCTAGGGAGATGGCCATGCTGCAGTCCCTTCTCTTCCATTCTCCTCTTGGGACTATGGGCATGCACATACACACATACGTGGCGTGAGTTTTAAACCACCAGGTCTGGCACTAGAATCAAGGTTGATTATGTGGGAGTCCAACGACGTAACCATTACACCATCTACTGGTCCCACAATTCTAAAATATAATTCAACAGAATAAGTCTTCTTTATTCCTTATCTCCATAATCACTGTGAATGTGTACAGAGAAATTCTGGAAATCAGACTCACATCCAGAGGATTCTGTTGTGACTGTTTTGGATGTCTTGAGTGGGCACCAAAATCCAAGGGTGCTGACAGGGTCTCTGAATTTTCTGGACAAAACTGTGATCCAAAGAGGAACTGGGAATCACTAAGGCTAGAATAATCAGCCTGATTATTACTCCAGTTAGATGACTTAGTGGTCCTGAAATTAAGCAAGAAAAGCACATCAAGTGGACAAATATGCTCAACAGATAAAGTCATAATTCGCAACTGCTCACTTCAGAATATTCTGGGCAGAGTACTAGCTTGTTCTGACCTCCAAGTGCCCTACACACTGTCAGTACCACCTACAAAGAAACCCAACGCAATGTTGAATGCCACATATTTTGATTATGACAATCTGGAGACAACCAGATGGATTTCCAAATGGAAAGGAGTGACATCATTATTTCTTGTATAATAATATCCTGGGCTAGGGAACCAGCAGTTAGCGTAATGGCTATGTCGCTGGACTCCTACGTAGTCAACCACGGTTCGTGTCCCGGACCGGGTGGCTTAAACTCAGGCCGGGCGCATGTGTGTGCATGCCCAAGATCCCGAGAGGAGAATGGAGAAGGGATTGCGGCATGACCAACCCCCCTGAGGGGTGATTTCTCGCTTTCTGTCTCTATGTCTCTCTGTCTGTTTGGCGAGCGCACGCACCCTATAGCGAAAAAACCTCTCCAAAAAAAAAAAAAAAATCCTGGGCTATAACACAACCTAGGAGATCAAAGTTCATAAAATTTTAGGGATTAAGAGAACTTTCTTTTCTTTTTTCTTTTTACTTGCTGTAGTGTACATGTGCATGCCAGTGAGAGAGAGAAAAAAAGAGAGAGGAAAAATGAGTAGGTACTCCCCAGGGAGATGGTCACACCATATTATTTTTCTCTTTCATTCTTCTCTTGGGATTTGGGGCATACATGCACATATGACTGACATTTTTTTAAAGAATTATTTTATTATCACTTTATTTATTATTATTATTATTATTATTTTCCAATTTGACCAGAGAGAGACAGAGAGAGAGAGGGAAGTGAGAAAGGAAGCCACCAGATCTGGGACTTGAACCATGGTTGGTCATGTGGGAGTCCAGGACCTTTAACCACCATGCCCCCTGCCGGCCCATGACTGGCATGTTTTTAAGGCTGCCAGGTCCAGCACTCAAATTGTGCTATTTTTTTAAAAAAGAAGGATTTATTTTAATATTTATTATTATTATTTATAATTTGCTATAGGGCATGTGGGCTTACCAGAGAGAGACAGAGACAGAGAGAGAGGGAAAGTGAGAACG